TAATAACTCGGAAGGATAGGGACACACGTCGTTGCCTTTTTGTTGTTTCTGCCTACGCTCCCACCGACTGCAGCTCAGATGAAATGAAAGATGAATTTTACAGAAAGCTATCTGAACTTCTTCAGAAAGCTAAACGTTCAGACATAGTACTCGTAGCAGGTGACTTTAATGCCCAGATAGGTAGTCTAAACCAAACAGAAAGGCATTTAGGTGGGTATTTTAGTATACCAGCACAACGAACTGATACTGGTGATCGTCTGCTGCAACTATGCTCAGGCAATCGTTTATTTTTAGCAAACACAAATTTTAAGCATGAGGAGAGACATCGTCTAACATGGCGACCCCCTACACCAAACCAACGATGGACTCAAATAGACTATATTGCCATCAGTCATCGTTGGAGAGGGTCGGTAGAAGATTGTCGCTCATTCTGGAGTACCTGCTTGGACTCCGACCATGCCCTAATACGGGCACGCATCTGCTTGCGCCTCACTGGACGCAAAAAAGCCACATTAAAAAGACCCATTAGAACTGAGTTGAGTAACGAGAAAACCAAAATAGATGGAAAATGCAGCGGCTATAGGGAACACAAAACAGCTCTACAGACTAATAAAAGAAACTGGAACTAATAAGTCAAGTGTAAGTGAGATTATTTCAGAAAAGGACGATACTCTCATCTACACTCAGTCCAGACGTTTAGAACGATGGGCAAAACACTTTAGGGAACAGTTCAGCTGGCCTTCAGCGACACGTGTTACGTATGCCCGACCACCGGCTACCTCGACGTGCTATATTCAGTGGTATAGGAGTAGGTTGGAAGAAAGCTAGGGGCGGCCAGACCAAAACATGGCACAAATCCATGAAGTCACTGACAAGTGAACTGAGTCATGTTGGTAGGTGTAGACTACCTGGTTGGGGACCGCGAGATGATAGCAACCGATGGTTAGAGACCCTGAATGACATGGCTCAAAATCGTTTGCAATGGCGCAGGTGCATCCACTCTCTATGTTCTCCCAAATTCTAATCATCTGAATTCTTCATGCCCTCTTTTTTTCCTCTTTCCAAATTTATTTCACTGGATTATACTCGTTAAATAACATCTCCAAACCCTAATCTTCCCGATTACTGCTTATACTCTTGCTACCTCTACCACTACGGGATTTGAATCGACCACTGCATCTCTGTGCTAATGTGGTATGGCAACTCGAACTGATGTACGTACGTACTAAGTTCTACGTTGTTACTGACTGACTGACTGACTCTACAACTACCGTCCATTCCCAGACAGTGTGAATGGAACATTGAAGTAGGTCCCCCAACTCTTGCTGAATTTTAAAAGGCTATAGTTAATCTGAAACGAGGAAGGGCAGCTGGTCCAGATGGATTGGTTCCAGAAGTCTTTAAGGATGGTGGTCCAATTTTAGCGGTTAGGTTGACTAATATTTTAGCTAAGATCTGGGAGTCAGATGTTATTCCATCTGACTGGTCGCAATCACTTATCGTTCCAATATACAAGAAAGGATCAAAATCATCTTGTGACAACCGCAGAGGGATTAGTTTAACAAATATAGTATCTAAAATACTAGCCTCAATAATAATCAGACGCCTAACTAAGACTCGTGAACTGCAAACACGAGAAAACCAAGCTGGCTTCAGACCTGGTCGTGGCTGCATCGACCACATATTCACCATTCGTCAGGTTCTAGAACACAGGCATACTTATCGACGTCCGACAATGGTGGTCTTTCTTGACTTAAAAGCAGCATTTGACTTGGTAGACCGCGTGATTCTGTGGCAGTGTCTGTCATTGAAAGGTGTACCTCAGAAGTACATAAACCTTGTAAAGGCTCTTTACTCGAACACTACTCGTCGTGTCAGAGCTTATGGCGAACTGTCATCTACTTTTGCAACCTCAAGTGGTGTCCGTCAAGGCTGTCCACTTTCTCCATTTTTGTTTAACTTCATCATAGACCTACTGATGGAAATAACATTCTCGTCGACTGAATTCTCGGGTATTGATCTCCTTCCAGGAGGTCCACTTATCGACTTAGAATACGCAGATGATATAGTCCTGTTCGGTGAAGACGCTGATAAAGTGCAGAGTCTTTTGGTAGCACTAAGCAACAATGCCAGAATGTTTGGAATGCGCTTCTCTCCCTCTAAATGCAAGTTGTTGCTTCAGGACTGGCCTGCGTCAACACCTGAACTAAGGATAGGGAGTGAAGTAGTCGGACGCGTTGACAACTTCACTTATCTTGGAAGTCTGATCAGCCCTAATGGGTTGGTATCGGACGAAATCTCGGTACGGATTCGAAAAGCTCGTTTGGCTTTTGCCAACCTACGGCACTTATGAAGAAGGCGAGATATCCGTCTATCAATAAAAGGTCGAGTATACTGCGCGGCAGTCCGTTCTGTTCTACTTTACGGCAGCGAAACATGGCCTTTAAGAGTAGAAGACACTCGTAAGCTACTAGTATTTGACCACAGATGCCTTAGAAATATTGCTGGCATCTGCTGGGATTACCGGGTAAGTAATAGTGAGGTTAGACTCAGGATATTAGGTAATGATGGTAAATCAGTTGATGAGGTTGTTAATCTTCATCGACTGAGATGGTTGGGTCACGTGTAACGTATGCCTGAACACCGATTACCACGTCGTGCAATGCTAACGGGTGTTAGAGATGGTTGGGAGAGAATTAGGGGCGGCCAAACCAAAACGTGGCACCAGTACTTGAAGACACTAACCTCTAGTCTGAGCCATGTTGGTAGATGCAGACTACTTGGTTGGAGTCCGCGTGACTTTCGTAACTAATGGTTGGAGACTCTTGGTGACATGGCTCAGAATCGGTCACAATGGCGTCGGTGTATACATTCCCTGTCTTCCCTTAAGCTAAGAGATTAAAATCGCTTCATACTTTTCTTTGTACGAACTAATTCTATATTCCAGTACTGTACCCTTATATGCAATCTTTCTCCTATATATTATCACCTTTAACCTAACCACTCCTATGAATCCGGTGTTCATCTTGCTGTGCTAATGAGGTATGGCAACCTGGACCGATGCATATATGTGCCTGGTCCTACGTTGTAGCTGACTGACTGATAGTGGCCCAGATCACACCATAAAATTGGAAATAACAATTAGACATGGACAAGCTAAAAAGGGCTATAAATAACAGACAAACAAAAAAAATATAAGACGTACGACACGAGTTAATAAGTGGAGCGGAAGCTTGCGATAGATGGGACATACATATATGCTAATCTAGTTACTCAGCAATCATATGAAAAGATTATACTTCATATTAATTCGGAAAACCAGTTTTAACTTTTACAATATCCTCATTGTCGTAAGAAACATAATCGAATTTGATCAATACATTGAAAACTGCATTTCATTTTCGGAATCTATCATAATTACCTATTAATTCAAGCAACCAGACTTAGTAAACAGAAAGTCAACTGATGGAACAAAATCAATTACTTTGATAAAGGGGAAGTAAGGAAACCGAATGCGTAGAATAGTAAAATAAGATTTTTAAAAGAGGTTTGTATTATTGTTATATCCCGATGACAAAAAGAATGGTAACATTTGGGATCCATTTATGGACCAATACTATACGTATATTTTTATCAGATCATTGTTAAATTACTAAACCATTCACATTCGTGTTCCACTTATCGAACACGTCGACAACGTCACTTATCTTGGAAGTCTGATCAGCCCTAATAGGTTGGTCTTGTAGGGGGGGGGGGCAAACCAAAACGTGGCACCAGTACTTGAAGACACTAACCTCTAGTCTGAGCCATGTTGGTAGATGCAGACTACTTGGTTGGGGTCCGCGTGACTTTCATAACCAATGGTTGGAGACTCTTGGTGACATGGCTCAGAATCGGTCACAGTGGCGTCGGTGTATACACTCTCTGTCTTATCTTAAACTAAGAGATTAAAATCGCTTCATATCTCCCTTTCTACGAACTAATTCTTTCTTCCTGTACTATATCCTTATTGCAATCTTTCTTTTATATATTACCACTTCCCAATTAACTACTTTTATGAATCCGGTGTCCATCTTGTTGTGTTACTGAGGTATGGCAACTTGGAACGATGCATATATGTGCTTGGTCCTACGTTGTAGCTGACTGACTGACTATTGGATTGGTGTCTGATAAAATCTCAGCACGAATTCGAAAAGCTTGTTTGGCTTTTGCCAACGTACGTCACCTAAGACAAAGGCGAGATATCCGTCTCTCAATTAATGGACGAGTATAGTGTGCAGTTCGCCATGTTCTATATTACGGCTGCGAAACGTGGCCATTAAGAGTAGAAGATATTCGTAAGCTACTATTATTTTACCACAGATGCCTTAGAAATATTGCTTGTATCTTCTGGGATCACCGGATAAGTAATAGTGAGGTTAGAAGCAGGGTATTAGGGAATAATGGCAAATCTGTTGACGAGGTTGTAAATCTTCACTGGCTAAGATGGTTGGGACACGTGTTACGTATGCCTGAACTCCGATTACGACGCACAATGCTGACGAGTGTTGGGTCTGGTTGGAAGAAAGTTAGGGGTGGGCAAACTAATATTTGGCATCAGTGCTTGAAGTCACTAACTTCTAGTCTTAACCATGTTGGTAGATGCAGATTACTTGTTTGAGGTCCGCGTGACTATTGTAATGAATGGTTGGAGACTCTGGGTGACATGGTTCACTAGTATACACTCTCTGTCTTTCCTTAAACTATGAGATTAAAATTACTTTATATTTTCCTTTCTTCGAACTAATTCTTTCATCCTGCACTATGTCCTTATATGCAATCTTTTTTTATATATTATTATCATTAAAGTAACTACTATGAATTTGGTGTTTATCTTGTTGTGCTAATGAGGTGTGGCAACTTGGACCGATGTATATATGTGCTTGGTCCTACGTTGTAGCTGACTGACTGATATATGGTATGCATGAATATTTCAAATGATAGAGAACGAACTAAACAAATATGGAGAAAAACTAATATACCCACAAATATTTACAACTGTTTCATTGCCTCTTCTATTGCACCATGCAAGTCTGGTACGTTCTCATTTATAACCCAACTGGGTAAAGGTGCAGAATAGCACCAATCAGATCCACTATAACGATAAGCGTGCAGTCGTAGTATTAAGTTATTCATTTCTGGATCCTTGAAAGTAAGTTTGCAATCAGGGCATAAGGGATCTTTACACAATTGCAGACGTTCTAATATATTTGGATCAAGAGAACTTTCCAACTTTTCATTGGTCTGAAGAAAAAACCAAAGATAAATCACCTTTAAGAGTGATACGATGCAACATAAATGATAAAGTAGTGATAATTGACAATCTCAAATATAAGTAGTTAGTTGCGTACTCTGGTGGACCATTGGCTTAGTGATTAAGGAGTTAGGATTTCAACCATTAGGTTACAGTGGGCCAAGTCCCTCTCCACTATTTTTAGTTTGGGTACCCGGATAGTATCACCACTACTACTTACACATAAGGTTTGACTAAAAGCCGAGTACACAAATTTGTACTCGATGAATGAGCTACATTATAACAAACTCTAGTGATTTTTACTGAGCCATTTAGTTTTAGACTAAGACAAATAAGCAAACATAGTATAATCAATTTACAAAGCACATGTTTATGTATTCAGCTTCGAATTACAATGTTTATGTATGGCTTAATGATGCCAACTGATTGATCACGTATAAGTAGGTTTGACAAAGCTGCATGTGTACACGAAGAGTTCATAGTAAGAAAAAACAAATAGTAATTTTTCATTGCATCACGGTGTACTACTATAAACAGAAGCCTGTTGTATCAATCAACTCGACAGGGTATGTAAAGATGACTGAACATATACGTAGGACTGATGAAAAATTTTTCTTTCTAGATTCAAGTTGTTGAGATACTCTTGATCACATAAACACATCCATATGACATTTTTATTTTCATCGGCGACTGTGTGAATAATGCGATTTTAACCCTATCTCGATGGAATTAGGGATCGGAATAATCTAAACAAAATATATATTGTAAAACAGGAGCTAAGCTAAGGTGCACATAACAGATATGATATTCTTTGAGTTAACTCAGTGTGAAACTCGTAGCTTGGATTTTTGAAGTAATTTTGTGTATTTCTACCATGTGATAATTACGAACCAATCATTAAGTGTGAGTAAAATCAGTATCGAAATGTGTATTCATGAATAATATCAATTTGTTTGAGGTTAAATAAACCTTCGTAACCAGTCTTTGTATTGTGACTAAGCATAGTCAGATTCTGGGTTTTGGTACTAAGCAAGTTACTCTGAGTCAGTCAGTCAGTCGGTGAGTTACTCTGAGAACTATCGTAACTATCACTAAAGAAGTATAGGTACTTAAAAACAATTGTCTACGCAAGATACCCCATATCCTTCGGCAAGATACTATCAGAAATAATCTGCCGTGGCAGAGAGCAAACCAGCTTGCAAATGAAGGGCAATTTTAATTGAATTTGGAACAAATGTGGAATCAAAACATTTTAATAATCCAGTCTGAAAGTTTTGCGCTGGGTACCTACTTACCTGGACGCTGAAACATATAAACTTTGAATTAATTCAGTCAGTCAGCTACAACGTAGGACCAGGCACATATATGCATCGGTCCAGGTTGCCATACCTCATTAGCACAGCAAGATGAACACCGGATTCATAGGAGTGGTTAGGTTAAAGGTGATAATATATAGGAGAAAGATTGCATATAAGGATACAGTACTGGAATATAGAATTAGTTCGTACAAAGAAAAGTATGAAGCGATTTTAATCTCTTAGCTTAAGGGAAGACAGGGAATGTATACACCGACGCCATTGTGACCGATTCTGAGCCATGTCACCAAGAGTCTCCAACCATTAGTTACGAAAGTCACGCGGACTCCAACCAAGTAGTCTGCATCTACCAACATGGCTCAGACTAGAGGTTAGTGTCTTCAAGTACTGGTGCCACGTTTTGGTTTGGCCGCCCCTAATTCTCTCCCAACCATCTCTAACACCCGTTAGCATTGCACGACGTGGTAATCGGTGTTCAGGCATACGTTACACGTGACCCAACCATCTCAGTCGATGAAGATTAACAACCTCATCAACTGATTTACCATCATTACCTAATATCCTGAGTCTAACCTCACTATTACTTACCCGGTAATCCCAGCAGATGCCAGCAATATTTCTAAGGCATCTGTGGTCAAATACTAGTAGCTTACGAGTGTCTTCTACTCTTAAAGGCCATGTTTCGCTGCCGTAAAGTAGAACAGAACGGACTGCCGCGCAGTATACTCGACCTTTTATTGATAGACGGATATCTCGCCTTCTTCATAAGTGCCGTAGGTTGGCAAAAGCCAAACGAGCTTTTCGAATCCGTACCGAGATTTCGTCCGATACCAACCCATTAGGGCTGATCAGACTTCCAAGATAAGTGAAGTTGTCAACGCGTCCGACTACTTCACTCCCTATCCTTAGTTCAGGTGTTGACGCAGGCCAGTCCTGAAGCAACAACTTGCATTTAGAGGGAGAGAAGCGCATTCCAAACATTCTGGCATTGTTGCTTAGTGCTACCAAAAGACTCTGCACTTTATCAGCGTCTTCACCGAACAGGACTATATCATCTGCGTATTCTAAGTCGATAAGTGGACCTCCTGGAAGGAGATCAATACCCGAGAATTCAGTCGACGAGAATGTTATTTCCATCAGTAGGTCTATGATGAAGTTAAACAAAAATGGAGAAAGTGGACAGCCTTGACGGACACCACTTGAGGTTGCAAAAGTAGATGACAGTTCGCCATAAGCTCTGACACGACGAGTAGTGTTCGAGTAAAGAGCCTTTACAAGGTTTATGTACTTCTGAGGTACACCTTTCAATGACAGACACTGCCACAGAATCACGCGGTCTACCAAGTCAAATGCTGCTTTTAAGTCAAGAAAGACCACCATTGTCGGACGTCGATAAGTATGCCTGTGTTCTAGAACCTGACGAATGGTGAATATGTGGTCGATGCAGCCACGACCAGGTCTGAAGCCAGCTTGGTTTTCTCGTGTTTGCAGTTCACGAGTCTTAGTTAGGCGTCTGATTATTATTGAGGCTAGTATTTTAGATACTATATTTGTTAAACTAATCCCTCTGCGGTTGTCACAAGATGATTTTGATCCTTTCTTGTATATTGGAACGATAAGTGATTGCGACCAGTCAGATGGAATAACATCTGACTCCCAGATCTTAGCTAAAATATTAGTCAACCTAACCGCTAAAATTGGACCACCATCCTTAAAGACTTCTGGAACCAATCCATCTGGACCAGCTGCCCTTCCTCGTTTCAGATTAACTATAGCCTTTTAAAATTCAGCAAGAGTTGGGGGACCTACTTCAATGTTCCATTCACACTGTCTGGGAATGGACGGTAGTTGTAGAGTCAGTCAGTCAGTCAGTAACAACGTAGAACTTAGTACGTACGTACATCAGTTCGAGTTGCCATACCACATTAGCACAGAGATGCAGTGGTCGATTCAAATCCCGTAGTGGTAGAGGTAGCAAGAGTATAAGCAGTAATCGGGAAGATTAGGGTTTGGAGATGTTATTTAACGAGTATAATCCAGTGAAATAAATTTGGAAAGAGGAAAAAAAGAGGGCATGAAGAATTCAGATGATTAGAATTTGGGAGAACATAGAGAGTGGATGCACCTGCGCCATTGCAAACGATTTTGAGCCATGTCATTCAGGGTCTCTAACCATCGGTTGCTATCATCTCGCGGTCCCCAACCAGGTAGTCTACACCTACCAACATGACTCAGTTCACTTGTCAGTGACTTCATGGATTTGTGCCATGTTTTGGTCTGGCCGCCCCTAGCTTTCTTCCAACCTACTCCTATACCACTGAATATAGCACGTCGAGGTAGCCGGTGGTCGGGCATACGTAACACGTGTCGCTGAAGGCCAGCTGAACTGTTCCCTAAAGTGTTTTGCCCATCGTTCTAAACGTCTGGACTGAGTGTAGATGAGAGTATCGTCCTTTTCTGAAATAATCTCACTTACACTTGACTTATTAGTTCCAGTTTCTTTTATTAGTCTGTAGAGCTGTTTTGTGTTCCCTATAGCCGCTGCATTTTCCATCTATTTTGGTTTTCTCGTTACTCAACTCAGTTCTAATGGGTCTTTTTAATGTGGCTTTTTTGCGTCCAGTGAGGCGCAAGCAGATGCGTGCCCGTATTAGGGCATGGTCGGAGTCCAAGCAGGTACTCCAGAATGAGCGACAATCTTCTACCGACCCTCTCCAACGATGACTGATGGCAATATAGTCTATTTGAGTCCATCGTTGGTTTGGTGTAGGGGGTCGCCATGTTAGACGATGTCTCTCCTCATGCTTGAAATTTGTGTTTGCTAAAAATAAACGATTGCCTGAGCATAGTTGCAGCAGACGATCACCAGTATCAGTTCGTTGTGCTGGTATACTAAAATACCCACCTAAATGCCTTTCTGTTTGGTTTAGACTACCTATCTGGGCATTAAAGTCACCTGCTACGAGTACTATGTCTGAACGTTTAGCTTTCTGAAGAAGTTCAGATAGCTTTCTGTAAAATTCATCTTTCATTTCATCTGAGCTGCAGTCGGTGGGAGCGTAGGCAGAAACAACAAAAAGGCAACGACGTGTGTCCCTATCCTTCCGAGTTATTACGGAGCCGTTTAGCCGGACAGCACATAGACGACTGTTGACGGGGATCCACTCTAACAGTGCTTGTTCAGCCCTCATGCTTAGTGCTATCCCTACTCCTGCCAGTCCACGAGAGCTGGCCATCGAGTCACCAGATACACGGAGGGTGTATCTCGTTGTCTCTCCGTTTTGCCGAGGTGAGGTCAAGGGAATGACCACACTGGGATCCTGTATGCGTGTTTCGGAGACACAGCATACATCAATGGTACGAGATTCTAGGGTTCTAGCCAAGGAAGCCTGCTGACCAATTTGACATAGGGTGCGTACGTTGAAGGGTCCAATGTGTAGTGTGGAGCGAGGTTTCAGTAGACCTGGGACAGTGTTTTGAGCACTAGAATCGTTGGCTATGGTGACACGTGAGGGGGAAGCTGAAAAAAGAAGTTTAGAGTTTAAAGTTGATGTAGGAGGAATAATAGGAATTGAAGAGGGAGGTTGATTATGAATCCAGTGGTCTTGAGTGCTGTCAGAGGTATGAGGGCGGTTATCACTTCCCGGTTGCCCACACCGTGGAAGAGTTCTTCTGGAGGTACCTGAAAGGGAAATCGGATTAGAAGTGGTCTTAGTGACCAGGCAGCGTGACCGCAGTGCCCAAGGGACAACTGCTTGAGGTCGGTCACACACGATCTTTTTATGGGCAATTTTGTGTTATCTCCGTACTTGTTGAGACTTTACCGCCGGAGACGGATATTCGTGGGATAAGGCGAGGTATGCATTTTTAGGGTCGACCTTTTCTAACCCCACCCCTCCTTGTGGGAAGGCAGCATCGCTGTCATGCTGGTTGTCTGAAGGAAACACCTTACTGCTGCCACACCTCTGTACAGTCAGCAGTACGAATTCGCCTTCGGACCTTGGGTTTGTTGCTTTTAGTCTTACCGCTCTTCAACCGACCTTTCTGACGTGGTAGAACCTCGAGGAACAGTTGTCCCAGTCAGTATAGCTCGGTTGCTTCATCACGATAGGCAAGCCCGACCACCACGTCAAGGTAGCAACAAAGGTCGGGTTTGAATTAATTAGATGAAATGTTTGCTTTGAAGAGTAAATAGATCTAGATTACGTCCAAATTAATGAAGTCGTGAAGTAACTGGTTCCGATTACTGTTATTCTAAGTAGTATTTAAATGTTAACATGTCCAAAGAATTTTAAGTGCAACCTATTCATGAATAAATTATGAGGATTTGTTTGTAAAGAGAAAGTTTCAAAAACGATAGAGAAACCACAATGCAGAACAAGTGGTAGCAATGAAATCACGAAAAACTAGCACAATATGAAATTCAAGAAGAGTCCTACCTCTTGGATTCTGTACTTTTCCCTGTTACGAGAATCACTCAATCTTTGGACAACTTCTTCCAGAGTCATTCCATAATTAGCACCCTTCCCTTTTAATTCACCCCAATCAGCTGAATTGTATAGGGGATCATCAACAATTGGATAACCTAAACAGAAATAACACGGGGATAGCAGTTATTACAAGCAGAAACGAAGTCATTTTTACTCAAACAAGACATTAACACAGAACGAATTGTAGTGTAGGTTATTATGTCATGCCCACAAAACTTATTCTAGCTTCTGGATAGGCCAATTTATCCATTCTTCTTGAGTTACATTTTGAAATTGTCAATTATTCGCTTATCAACCTTGACTGCTTTTATATGAGCATATGTGCATGTACACTTTTTATCCTACTCATCACAAGTCTGTAGCTTGGTTAAATTGATTTGGGTCACATGTCTTTTTCACTGCACATCATTTCGTTTCGCTTCGTTCCTTTGATCATCTGCTTGAATCAATAAATGTACAAAATATACGTATTCGACATCCTTTCACATACTTGACTTATTTTAATTCCGTTACTTACTAACGCGAGTTAAGTCAATAATTATATACGAGGATAGCTAGGATGTATATTTTGACAATAATCATTCATACGATCTAATTGGAGTCAGATATAGGGTCACTAGAGTATATTGGAGAAGTTGGGACCTTCAGCCATATTTTCCGGACTATTAATATTTATATCGTTACTGTATAATTAATCGATAACTTTATTACTGCATTTTTACATCGCCCTAACCGTAAACTTTCGGCGGATGGTCACTAATATCCTTCACTTTTCTGTAACTAATGTTAGTTGATTATGTACTGCTTGTTTCGACCCTCTAACACTTATGGTATGATTGTGATTAAAGTGTAATTTATTGTTTGGCGTGTTGTGTGGTTAGGCATTTTCAGCATATTATTGTATGGGTTTTTATCATGATCGAATCGGAGACAACAGTTAGTCTGCTTTCAGTCGTCTTCTGATTGGCTACTGGGTTAGAAAGCGCGCGAGCACCAATAAGCGTTAAGGTGTAGATTGTGTAAAGTCGTGAAATAGTTCACCGGTCCGGCTGACGATATAGTACGTAGTGTCAATTATAATCTTCAGAGTTAACAAACTGGCTTTCCCCAAAAACGTTAATGCTGTATAACTTTGAATAATTCAAAACACCCTGGCAAACAATGAATTTAGTTGGGCGGCATTTATTCATAATTTATACCTATTAATTACGGTAGTAACTTTATCAGTAGTAGAAAGCCGTAGTACGGATGAGGGTGGGGAGTCAGCTCTTTGCCAGGGAATTCCCACTCAATGCCTTCTCGTGGTGGGGTTGTTTATGAGGTTGAGAGGACGAAGAGCGGACGTCTGGCGCTTTAAGTGGGTTGGTGGATATAGAGCATCTACCTAGGGAAGTTGGAAAATCCTGATTCCAAACCCATGATGCACATGGGCTCCACGATCCTGAGGGAACAAGTGATTACTGGCTACCATGAGACTGCATTTCCTAACGTTGCTCTATTGCCTTGTGGACTAAATTTCTAGGTCAAAAGCTTGAGAAGTGGCCCCCTAAGAAAACCACCTGCTTCGCTCTAGGCAAACGGGGAGTATCCCGGCCCTCACACAAATTACTCGATTTATGTGGCGTATATATATTTGGCGCCTCCTTGTACCAATATTCATGTGTTTAAATAAGTGAGTAGGAAGCATAAGGTACAGAAAGCATAATTCGATAGGGAACAATTCGTGGAACAAGAAAGCACTTTAACATTTGTATGTATGCGTAAAGAAATTATCAAGATAAAGACTTGAGAAGAAAGTATTGGCAAACAACAGTAAAAAAACAAAAGGAATAGAAAATTCTAAAAAAGAATGAAATTAAGATGATAGTTACGGAATTAAAGAAATAATGAGTGGGTCAATGCCACCGGCTACGAGTAATAACCATCTGAAGTTTCCAACATTGATTAGAAGGTGGTTAATAACAAGGTTATTGAGTTTTCTTTGCTCATTCTGAGTAAATACTATCCTTAAGAAATAATTCAACATTACGTACATTTACAAAAATTTATAACTGTACCAAAAATGTACGGATACAAGTTATATGACGTATTGTATTACCTAAGTACTGCACATGTACTCGGATTTGATGTGTACGCCCAGTGAATAGACGACATATGACTAGACTTGTATTCGTGACAGGATTGTAGTTTAAGCGTAAGAAATGTGTCCGAGCGAGCTTCCCACCAGCTGATTCTGGTAAAACGCCATGTACACCCATTCTACGACTAATGGGCCCGACAGGTTGGCTACAAACCACTACTCCATTGTTTATCTCAAAGCCAGTACATTGATTGATTGGTTCGGTTGGGAAACAGCCTTCAACATGACATATATAATACTTATAAAGTGAAAACAAAACAAGGAAGTAGCTTTAACACATAGTTATTACAGGCTCTTTTTATTGCATAGCTAATTAAGAATACGTCTTAGCTCAGAATAATTTGTAGATGAAATTTCATGGTAAAATCTAGTGTTAACTGCATGGTGATATTTACGCTTTAATAGTAATATTTCCAAATTTCTCCGCCTCGATAATGGGTTAGGGTTGAATTATGTATAAGGTCGTGTACAAAAATAACACCAAAACCATGGGAACTCCAAAATGTTTTAGATTAACTCACACTACACACTTTATTGACTAAGTACACAATGATGTAAACTGTTGGCTTACTGAGCAAAAGTAACATGTTCAGAAACAGACATGTGAACTAACAGACTAGTCTTGCTACGTTGAAGAAAGGGGATAGGTACACCTAGCTAAGTCACTTGATATTGTTTATTGAAATGTTAAGAAAGATTAAATTAGAAGCCAAATCTTGACCAACAAGACGTCTGAAAATTATTAAAAGAGGATATTTACAACATTATTACAGAAAATAAGGGAGATAAGAAAAAAATGTCCATCGATATCATTTACTAAAGCGGTACATTCATACAGTTATGTATAATACAATTTACAACAAAACAAAGGCATTGAAACACCATAGTTATCTTATTTGATCCAATGTTGACTTATTAGATAAAACGAAGTAAGAACTATCTAAACCTTTTCGTGGATAGGTGAGAATAACTCGAAAAGAGGACTACAAAAATTTAGTCTCTAAGACACCTGTATATTAGTCTGGAATTCTGAATCCACTAGACTTCCGGTTTACTTAAGAACTCTTTGTCTGTAGCAATTAAGAGGATGTTCCGTGCAAGAAGCAAGTAACTATTTTCTGTACCCCTAAAGGATAAGCTTCCCTGTCTGATAGCCTGTATATGGATCTGTTATTACACCTACTTAAAATAGAGGAAAGTACATTGACCAGAGCCAGTGTTCGCCTCTACCACAGATACGAGCACATACTCTAGCTTGGTTTTACAGGGAGAAGAGGAAATCGGTCAGAATTACTGCTCATAAACAAATGATTGACTGCAACTACTCAAATAACCGATTCGTTAAGCATAAGGTTATTATTAGAATTCGTTTAAATCCTTATACCTAATTCTTCGAAAAAGTGGAAACAGTAAGTTTTGAACTATTTTCATGAAATTTTTTAGGCTAGAGTGACTTTACTGTAAATTGTGTTATAAATAACTATTTGATTTCATTACTTTAGTAAATGATATCATTCGAAAGAAATATTTTTGCTTCATTCAACATATAGCACTTAGTAGCCTAATTGAAAATGTCTCATTGGAATATTTTGAACTAGGTTTCAATAGCTGAGCACTTCATACACGACTATCAGACTTTAAATTCCATAGCATTGAAATGTTTATATGGGGTTTTAACCAGTCAGTCTGATGAAACCTAGAAAACTCTAATTTATTACCTAGTGTGAATATCGTCATGTGAGTGTTGACATCAAATATTGAGATGGAAATTTATAGGTTATGGATTGAAAAGTTAGTGAATTAATAATATCGATGATTTTTCCAAATAAAGAGTAGATCATAGACGAAGGCATGGACACATACTGAGTTATAAAGTTCATTATTTCGTTTTGAAGACTGACGGGAAGAACTGTAATTTATGCAGTATAATGATAAATATACATCACATAGTTTCTTCAGTTATAGGTCAATATTATTGAACAGCCACATCGTGGACGCCGAGTTACAGTCAAAAATGTTGAAGCATGAGATTACTGAGTCGAACTAGCTTGTAATCCAACTTCAAATCAAGAAATTATACTATCTATATGAATGCGTTAAGTTAGATATAGAAAGAAATGATAAATATGATAAACAAGACGTACTTTTGCAACCTCCTTACTACTAATTTGTGATTGCAGACGTACAGATGTGTCGTAGTTCTTGGCGATTAACAGTAGTCCAGAAGTCATTCTATCATTTTTTTAAACCATAAGCGAAAATGAAGTGTAAATACCATGTGTTAAGTGCTAGGACAAATTAAAATCACCGTTAAACTTCATGCAACATATAAACATAAATAATAAAATAAAATTCGTAGAACACCGGGAGTGAAACAATATGGAAGTATTTGGAATTTCGTAAAAAATTTAACTACTAAGCAGACAACATTTTACAGTGACTACGAATCTAAGTTGCAACAAGTCACATTACTGTAAGTTAGAGACTCACCGAGAAATTAAAAATAGTAACAAGATGGTTTTGGAAACGGCACGAAAAAATAGACTTGCAAGTGTCCACAATTTGACAAAAATGCAGACTAGGACCTGATATCTATTTTAAACTGTCCTATTGTCACTATCTCTTGTGTTGTTATTAAACACTGACAGTCTCGACTTAATAGGTTCAGAGTACTACGATCTCTGAGTTTCACCTGTCCCGACCTTAATATCAATCTATAAACTGGTTGAAAAACCTTAGGAATATTGTAAGTAAAGGTTTACAAATATACTTGTTTTAATAGATATTTACCACATAAGGAAGTTCGTCATACTTTAGGCATATATTCGTATGTTTCTACTTTTCGGTCCCTAAGTGGCCTGCTTTTCTAAGACAACTGATTATCCCCCCACTAACGACTAACAAAATATTTATTTCTTAGGACGAATGCTGAAAATGAAGTTTCCTCTATAAAGACAAGTACAGGTGAAATCATACTGATCCCTCGTATATACATATGAAAAATAATCACTGAAAAACTTGAGTAAAAACATGATGAATACACGAATTAAGAACTATCAAGCATGAAATCATTAAAATTTTGCGCAGTAAACCAGCTAGCTCACAAAGAAGTAAAACTGAACGACTGACATAAGCGATGCTACAAGTTATAAAGGAACCTCTGAAGACTCTCGGCGCTTAACTAATTTATTTTCACATAAGAAGTCTATTCAGTCTGCTCTTTCACATGCAAATCAAACTAAAAATTACTAGCATCATGAACTGATACCACAGCCGTGATCCTTTCGAAGAGTTGATCAACAGTGGATTGGGTGGGGGATGTTTAAGCTAATGAATTGTAGGTGTAAGCAGTCAATCTTTTAGGAGTTCCGTATACAAAAAATAAGAGCGTCAACTATGAGCGAAAAGCTAAGTGTAGTGTTACACTAAGTTATTTTTCCATGTCTCAAACATTTGATTTCTCTTGGGTATTCGAGTAAGAGTATTGAGGATTTACTGCCTTAAAGCCTGATGGCGAGACAACCTTAGCGATACTAAAGTGTACTTGAGGAGGATCAACAGTCTACTGCGGTCGAAATAAGGCCTTAAACAAATGAGAGCAATTGAGAGAAGTTAAGATTGTGAATTAGGACTTGGCTTTTCATCACGTATTAACATATACTTAGCCATACGGACGAACAAATTGTGCTCCAAAATCCGAGATTCGCAATCTCAGATCTGGTTGGTATATCTATAAACTAGCCTCGCGAGCCTATCAAAGCAAATGTGGATCGCGTTTATGTAAAATCTAAAGCACAATCACCTCCATATACTTTCGTTAAGCGGACCGTTACCCGTAGTGAATGAACATACCTATCAAGGCGGTGGGTAAATCGTAGAGGACGAAGACCATAATCCTTGGCCAAAATATGTGTGATGCTGTTAAGTGTGTACTGGCCACAAGGATGAATAGGTATGGAGGGAGGTTTATTGACCACTAGAATATCGTCTGAATCGTGTACAAACTCAATGGGAAGATCTTGAAGGCAAAGTGAAATTAAAACATAAACATACTTAGTACAGGACACTCATGGCGATGAACCTTTTGAGAAAGGAGATCACTGTCATTTATAATATATTCAGGATCAACTTTTGCATCATTTACTAAAATTTCACCTGATTCACATTTCTGTGCCTAACAATCTTCTTTTCAGTAGCAAAAGGTATTCCTTACGATTGCTTCATCAGAATTATTATTGAATTCAGACTGCAGGACATCACAGAGCTTACGATTAATCCACCTGTCCTTTGCATAAGCTTTGAAGACAAAATGATAGGGGAAAACCTATCAGGATGAGTACGGAAATATTTGCAAACCTTTCTAAATATCCCATCAATGTAGTAGTCACTGATACTGGAATTTTCGTAATGCACAAAGTCAGTCGCTAATCGTTTCTTCTCTTGTCGTTTCTTAGTCAACATAGCTTTAGCTGCAGCCTTTTTGGCATTCTTTCTTTCGCGTTTATTCATGTTTTTCAAAACGCAGACTAAACTTGTACATAGGGTTCGAGCACAAAGCATGAATACAGATCACACTCAAATCTCCCTATTCATATTGCGACCTTGAAAATTGGACAGCCTTCAGTAATAAGGATAGGAGGTCTATCGACCTATATTAATCCTTGCAGTTTGTGATACTGTGGAGGCCCAATCTCGTTCTGAATATATCAACAGAAGGTGTTGATATTACATGTTCCGGTAGAGCGTTCCATTAATTCACTATTCGGTGCGAGAAACGAAACCCCAGACGTAAACGATTCGGTCTCAGTTTTTGAACATTTGAACCAATTATTCAAAAATTTCAAACCTTGTTGGGTTCGAATAAAGAACTGATTATCTCTGAGATCTGAATGAAGGTTGCTGGATGTGGCGGTGAATAAATCACCTCGGTCACTCATCCGCACCAGATCTCGCGTGGGCACGCCGTAATATACATCTACAACCGCTAGTTGGCTTATGTTAATCACTTCCCAGTATATCGATGGCTTGTAAAATATATCCCTGAACCTTTTAGCTTCTGACTTGACTGGGTTGGCATACTTTGATCAGAAAAAATGTTACCAGTTAAGGCGTTGTCGAACTCCAAACACCTATAATAATAATTTATTCTCAAATAACAGTTTTTTACATGAGGCATGCCAGTTTACAGGCAAGATCAAGTTGTTACAAATGATACGATATCCACTGTAGTAAATTACTCAGCTGGGTTGATAATTTATATGATATGAATGTAGATGGTTTTAGTCAGTTTCACAGTTGGCGCGCTTCATGAAATTTGCTTTGCGAATGTGCAACTGATGGTCAAGGATAAGTTCATTGAAGGTGGAGCTTCTAAAAATCACAACCTTATGTCCCTTTGGAATATTTAAGGCTTTAAGGATGATACAGGATGAAGTCAACCGATTCATATCTCAAGGGGGCTGAAAGAGAGAGCAAGTAAAAGAAAGGACGAAAGTCAGAGTAGCCAATATTCATGAAGGGATGTTTAACGTATGATTACTCAGTCTAATTTTCTTTTATTAAGGTATTTGTTAAGCAAGGGCATTTTAATAGGTTAAAGAAAATAAGTGTAAACAAGATATGGGTGGACATACAACTGACAAATAGAGGCGATTCAGAAAGGAGCTGAGAGTATGGGATTATGTGTGGTTATAAATAGAGTACTAAAAACAGTATTGTGATATACAATTGCCTATCTTCTTTTTTATCGAATCTATTGGAGCCCTTTTCATTTATTTCTGTATTGTTATCATTTTTTTCTTTATTAGGTATCATAGGGTCTTGAGAAGGCTTCGTATATTATCGAATTGTCTAGTTTGCTTGTAATAGTATTACTGGTGAGGATAATACAGGTATTCAGTCTTTGACAACGCTTCTACCAGTAACGCCTTCTAATATACTTTGTTCCCACCGAGAAAAATCAAAAGACAGAGTCGAGGAGATCGGAAGAGTGTATTTGGCTATAACCAATATTTCGGAATGCTCTGATCTAATCTGGCTAGCGATTGCGGTAGATGTTGACCACAGCATTACCACACGTGATCTGGTGCGGATGCATGACCGAGCGCCTTCAGCTAGATGAGTCCACTAAACATATGGTCAGCATCCAATGTCGAAAACCTACAGAGCTATTTAGTTTGCGGATTTATTTACCGCTACAGATCACTCCCCCCCTAGTGTGGCAGTGATGACCCTAAGACGTGGCAGCCAGAAGTTTAAACCCAACGAGTTTGTCGTTGGTAAACACTCTTCTGATAGCTTACTAAATTTAGCAGCGTCTGGTCGTCTTTCCTTACTATATGGGACCGAGGTACAACATAGTAAAAAAAGAAAAGTAAAATGAAAATTTCGGGTCCTCATAAACGTAATCGTTCTTTTCCAGCCGTCCTGGAAAAGAAAAAAGAAAATGTAAGTGCATGTCGAAAATACACTCGAATGTGCGTAAAAAAGGAAAATAAACTCATGAACACGTAATAGCGTTAAAAATATAGTTGTTGTTTTGTTTTTGTTTTTTTGAAATAGAAATAAAAATATTCAAGCATATTAAAAAAATTTTTTCCTAAAATAATATAGAAAATGTCGAGAAGTACCTTACGTGCAATAGTCGTTTAAATGTTCTGGAAATCTTACTCTTCTTCCAGAACGCGTCGTTTTAAGTTTGTTTTCGGATACTGTCGAAGTATCATCGTGTGTGTTGGTCGTCGGATGAGGTATTATAAGTGTCGGAGTCGTGTCGTTCGATTGTACCGAAGGAAAATCCACTTAGATAAGATTTCCTTCAAAATACGCTGCTTTGAGGCGATCGAAGCTGATGCTATCGTTGGTTCCGTTCTTATCGATTATATAGTACTTCGTTTCGCGTTGAAGAACTTTGAAAGGTCCTTCGTATGCTGATTCGAAAGGTCGTCGATGCGAGTCTCGACGAACGAAAACGTGTGTACTATAACGTAAGTCAGGTTGAACGAAAACATCAGCTGATTGAGGTCGAGTAGAAGCAGGTTTAACTGAACGCATTGTGTTTGTAAGCCTGTTCGTGTAGGAGGTTAGATCCATGCTCATTGAAGAGGATGAAGGATCCACGAATTCTCCTGGAAGTCGGAGTGTCGTTCCATAAACGAGTTGAGCCGCAGTGTATCTAATGTCAGCTTTCACTGCATTGCAGATACCTAGTAAGACGAGTGGAAGAGCGTCGGTCCACTGTGAAACGTTTGCAGCTGATAGTGAAGCATTTAGTTGTCGGTGAAAGCGTTCTTCCAACCCGTTTGCTTGTGGGTGGTAGGCGGTCGTTCGGAAGCGAGTGCTTCCTAATAGTGTGGTCAGACGACGGAAAAGTTCAGACTGAAACTGACGTCCGCGGTCTGTAGTGATGGTTGAAGGGCAACCGAAGTTTGCTACCCATCGTTCGACGAAGGTTCGGGCCACTGTTTCAGCAGTGATGTCCTTGATAGGTACTGCTTCTGGCCATCGGGTGAAACGATCTACACAGGTTAAAAGGTAAGAGTATCCATTTGAACCTGGTAAAGGTCCTACCAAATCCAGATGAACATGGTCGAAACGAGCATCGGGAGTTTTAAATGAGCCTAAGGGACATTTATTGTGTCTGATGACCTTAGATTTTTGGCAGCCTACACAGGAGCGTGCCCAGTCCCTCAAGTCTTTATTCATATCAGGCCAGCAAAACCGTTCTGCTATAAGCTTGATGGCTGCACGAACATCTGGATGAGAAAGTTTGTGCAATGTGTTGAAGACATTGCGTCGATAATGTTTCGGGACGATTGGGCGATCCCTACCTGTAGATGAGTCACAAAGTAAGGTTTTCTTTACCTGTTCCCATCTGCTTGATGCGTAGTTTAAGGGTTGTGGACGATAACTCTTGCTGAAGATCAGTGTCTTCTTTTTGAAGCTGGGCGAGTTTAAGAAGGTAGATTCCTTGGAAACTGTTCAAGGAATTTATTCGAGACAACGCGTCTGCAACTACATTGTTTGCTCCAGAAATATGTTGAATATCTGAAGTAAACTGCGAAATGTAGTCCAGTTGTCGAGACTCACGAGGAGAGTACTTGTCTGAAGAGGAGCTTAACGAGAAAGTGAGCGGTTTATGGTCAGTGAATAGAGTGAATTCACGGCCTTCGATATAGTGTTGAAAATGCCGTACAGCACAATACATAGCTAGGAGTTCCCTACCGAATGTGCTGTATCTCGATTCGGTGTCTAGCAACCGTCTAGAGAAAAATGCCAAGGGTTGCCAGGAGTTGTTAACCCATTGTTGTAAGACTCCTCCGATTGCCGAGTCGGATGCGTCTACTGCGATACTAATGGGTGCTTCAGTGTCCTGATGTGCGAGCATTGTTGCTTTAGCGATCAGTTCCTTAACTGTGGAGAATGCTTTTCGTGCGGTGTCGTCCAAATTAATTGATTTCGCATTTCCACGAAGTTGGTCAGTAAGAGGTTTCATAAGTAATGCGCATTTCGGTATGAAGCGTCTATAGAAACTTACCAGGCCGTTAAACGTGCGTAATTGCTTGACGTTGGTCGGCTCTGGGTAATCCAGAATGGCCGCCACTTTGGTCCTAAGAGGTCGAATGCCTTGAGCATCGATAGTGTGTCCTAGGAAATCTAACGAGTGGGTTCCGTATTGGCATTTGTGAACGTTTACAGTAATGCCATGTTTTTGTAATCGTTCGAAAACAAGATCCAGATGCTTGAGATGTGATTCTCTGTCCGGACTTGCGATTAAGCAGTCATCAACATACGCATGTACGAAGTTGAGACCTCGAAAAACGTCGTCTATGAATCTTTGGAATGTTTGCGCAGCGTTTCTTAGACCGAACGGCATTCGCAAAAATTCATAGAGTCCGAAAGGAGTTATGATAGCTGTTTTCGGTATGCCGTTAGTAGCCATAGGGATTTGGTTATACGTTTTAACCAAGTCGATTTTCGAAAAGACAGTTGTACCTTTCAAGGTAGCTGTCAAATCGTTAATGTGAGGCAACGGGTAACGATCGGGAATGGTTTTTGCATTCAATCGCCGATAGTCACCAGTTGGACGCCAATCGTTGCTGTCCTTTTTAGGGACCATGTGCAACGGAGATGCATAAGGGCTGTTTGACAGTTGTATGATTCCCAAGTCTATCATGTGATCGAATTCGTTTTTCGCTAAACTTAGCTTTTCAGGAGCTAGTCGTCGTGCTTTAGAGAATACAGGTGGTCCTGTAGTCGTGATGTGATGTGTAACATTGCTGGTTACACACGGTAGTTTTGGTTGAGTTTTTTGTATCCCAGGGTACTTGTCGAGTAGTGGTTGATAGAGTGGGTCTATCATATGCTTAACTGTGACTGGGGATAATCTACAACCAGAAAAGGAAGTTACGCAAACGGATAATTTTGTGTTTTCATCTACTAGCCTCCGTTTGCGCGTGTCGATGATTAGATTATGACGTTGCAGAAGATCCATACCAATGATTGGCATAGAAACATCTGCAACAACGAAATCCCAATGAATGGGTTTCCGTAAACACACGTTAAGGTAAACGTACCTTTTGTCATACGTAACGATCGGTTTTCC